GAGATATAGGTATTATATACAGATTTGTATTTATAGATATAGATGTATAAAAATAGAGATATCTATGTATATAGATGTTCCTGTGCACAGGAAATATACGGAACAGTCTACACCAAACAGAGGCTATTGATTCATTTCGAAGATCAAAACTAGAGGGTTGAAGGAGAAAGATAAAATTTTAAATTTTAAATTTTATACACTTGTGGTCTTCATTCTGTGAATTGTTACAGTAAGTAGGCATTACTCCCATAATTAAAGAAAAAAACAAGTATTTGTGGCAAAAAGAAAAACAATCCTTCAGTTTGTCCAGGTTTGGAATCCAATTATTTGCCACCGAATCCCGGGGCATCCCTAAAGTAATGTACAGAATAGCACCTTCCCTTACGGTGTGGACGCCAGCCTGGCCCAGGTGCTCACCAGCTCAGCCCTCCTCAGTACCTGGGTGGGAAGGTGCACAGAAGGTTGGGCCACTAGATTTACCCCAGTGTGCAGGAAACAGGTTACCTCCTCCTAAATCCTGTTCTTGGCAGAGATAAACTAGTGCTTCTCAAAGTGGGTTCTACCTCCCACTAGCATGAGAGGTACTTTTCTAATAAAGGTTTCTGTGGCCAGATACATTTGAGGCAATGTTCCATATCCTCTCTCACATGCCCCCATTTCTTAAGAGTGACAAGGACATTAGCATAGCCAAGGCTCTGAGAAGTCCTGCCGAATACAGAGAACTGTTTCACTTGGCTTCCCAAACTATTTGACTATGAAATATTTTTTAAACGTAAACATTTTCCTTCCAGGAACATTTGTATTCTATTAAGAAAATCCTAGAAAGCATTCCAGGTGAACTATCTCATGGTATAACCTCAGGCCCCAAGACAGAGATGGGAGACGTGCAGAACTGGCTCCCATAAACCAGTACCAGCCATCTCAGCACACAACTGACTCCAAACACACTCACATTTCTTTTTCTCTCCTTCCTAAAATGCCTGATTTTTTTCTCCTTCTAGGAGAGGATATGTTTTCCATCCCCCTCAATCTCCACCCTAGGGGGCAGAACTGACCTGTGGGTCTTAGAACTCTCGAGAAGAAGAACGGAATTTAAATTCGTCCATGCGGAATCCAAGCATGGCAGCTTGAGTCCCCACAAGCAGGTGGCCTTATTTCTTAGGTAACAAGATGCCCTTCCCTGCAGCCTCTGCGCCTCCATAGGCCGAGCCCAGTTGAGCCTTACTGTGCTGTCCTGAAGGTACTGCTCCCAGATCCTGGCCGTCAGCCCCTGTCCGGCATCACAGGACAAGTCTGGAGACACGATCATGTGATTGACCAGGGCTGACAGGTGGGTCCTCACGGTGGACAGGTGTCTGCAGTAGGCAAGCCCTGCCAGGGGAGGGGAAGAAAATGTCATCATCTGCCATCCGATACCCCCCCTTGTCTCATGAAGTCTCCAAGTGCTGTCCTATTCCCCATCTTACTGAACTCCCACAATTCAGTGAATTCTCATCATCGCCCTCCCCCACTTTTCCAGACAAGGAAGGTGAGGCCAGGGGTTGATGTCACTTGCTGACTCAACTGCTAAATGGCTCTGTGACCCTAGGGAAGTCTTATCTCCTTTCTTAGCCTCTGTTGGGGTGATGCCAACCTCCTCTGCTGGAAGCCAAAGCCTTGGGTTAATAGGCTGGAGTCAGAGAAGGGGCAAGAAGGAAGGGGGCCAGTGACCCCATGAGCTTGTTGTGCCTCTGTCTCCCTCTGGTCCATACGGAGAGAAAGAGAATGCGAGACATGGAAGCCTCCCATCCAAACTGCAGCTGGACGGGTATATACCGCAAAGAAAGGGAATCAGTACACCAGAGAGACATCTGCATTCCCACGTACATTGCGACATTATTCGCAATAGCCAACAAACAGAATCAACCCTAGTGTCCACCAACAGATGAGTGGATGAAGAAAATGAGCTACACAGACACACTGGGCTACTATCCAGCCATTGAAAAAGAGAGGGATCCTATCATCTGCAGCAACGTGGATGAAACTGGAGGTCATTACGTTGAGTGCAATAAGCCAGGGACAGAAATACAAATATCGCATGTTCTTCACTCCTATGCGGGAGCTAAGAAAGTGCGTCTCACGGAGGTAGAAAGTACATGGTGGCTGCCAGAGGCTGGGAAGGGAAGTGCGGGGTGGTGCAGAGAAGTTGGTTCATGGGTACAAACATACAGTCAGACCGAGGCGTGAGCTCTCATATTTGATAGTATAGTAGGGAAATTATAGTTAACAGTAATTTATTGTATCTTTCAAAATAGCTAGAAGAGAAGAATTGTAATGTCCCAACACAAAGAAAAGATAAATGTTTGAGGTATGGGATATCACAGTTACCGAGATTTGATGAATGCATATTGTATACATGTATCAAAATCATCCTGTGTACCTCCAAAATGTGTACAACCATGATCTATAAAAAAATAGCAAAAAAAAAAAATACATCCAAATTGCAGCTGGCTAGAAAAGGCCCCACCAAGAAGGTGACCGGGGAAATCTGAGGGCACCTAGTTTGCTTTCAGAGATGGCCCCGCCCCCTTAAAGGAATAGCTGACAATGTGACTCCCCTTATCTGTTCCACCCTGAGCACCTGGAGGGAGCTGGGCAGAGTTCCTGGCACACAGGAAGCACTCGGCAAATGCCAGCGGTGCTATCTGCTCGGATCGCGCCCCTTCCTTCTGCCTCTTTTTGACCATTTCTTCCCCAATTCCCAGAGAGAATTCTGGACCTTCCGCATCCTGAGGACTCACCCCTAAAAACTTTCTGAAGACAATAGGTATAGTCGTAATGACGACGATGGTGATGTAACAGCTAACACTCACATAGCATGATGTGCCAGGGAGCTGCCTCCAGAGTTTTCATAACTTAACCCGTTTCATTCTCACCACAGCCCTATGAAGCAGGAACCGCTATTATCTCCAGCTTACGGATGGGATAAACTGTGGCACAGACCGGTTATGTCACTTGCACAAGTCGCATTGCTGGGAAGTGTGGAGCTGGGATTTGAACCCTGGCCGCCTGGCCCCAGAACCTGGGCCTTCAGTCACTGCCCGGGATGAGCCACATTGTCCATTGACATCATTCCAGACTCATCTCAACCCCTACCCCTTCCTCCAGGAAGATCTTCAAACTGGGTCCAATAAATATTGCCCGTGACTGCTCCACGCCAGGTCGTGCGTTAGGCGCTGGGAGCAGTGGCAAAAGAGCAGGCAAAACTTGGTCCTAGGGGTGCCCATGCTCTACCTGCCTTTCCAGGCACTTGGGGATGTGGCCTGCACTGCTATTTCACAGGCCCATGGGGGTTGTATTAAGACTTTTCTAGAATTCCTGAAAATCCACACACGTTTTATCTCCCCCATGTAGGCTGTGAGGCTGGGGAAATAAAACCTGCCAAGAATCAACAGGGCAGAGAGGAAAAAACAGAGCTTTAGAGTCAGGCAGGCCAGGGGGTTGAATCCCAGCTCTGCTGCTTCATTGCAGTGTGACCTCGGGTGAGTCACTTTGCCTCTCTGTGCCTTTGTTTCCTCATCTTTTAAATGGGAATAATACATTAAGAATACCTGTATTATGAATTTAATTTTTAAGGTTTTTGGAAGGGATCAGACTACCTTACTCTTCTGCCTTTGCCACAGGAGAAGGGAACTGGCATTTATTGAGCACCTATGACATGCAATACTAGATGCTAAGGGCTTTATACACACTGCTCATTCAATCCTGAAAAAAAAAAAACCCTCTAGGTTGGGCCCTGGGGATGCAATGGTGATTAAACAAACCTCTGCCCCCATGGGGCCCTGACTGTTCACTGCCCTTGCTCAGGACCCAGGGATAAAATTTATCTCCAATCTGTAGAGGAGGAAATTGAGGCTCAGAGAGGTTAAAGCAACTTCACTGAAATCAGACATGTACAAAATAAAGGAGCAGAGGTTCAAACTCCGGAGCTGATATCCCCTGATGTTGCTGGCTTACAATAGGCGCTCAATAACTGCTCCTCAGACACCACACTGACAACGCAGACCTATACGTACATCCATAGAAGGCTCTGGAAAGGATCTGGTACTTCATATTGTCACAGAGAAGTTTCAGGGGAGCCCTGCAGATGGAGAAAGAGGAAGATGCTTAGAGTAGATCCAAACACAACCCGGGTTTTCTGGCGAGAGCAGAACGCAGAGGGCAGATTAAAACCAGACAGTCAGGCAGACCAGAGGGCGAGTTGCTGTTATTTCTACCCATACAGCAACGTTGCCCCTTCTTCTATCAGTGCCCCAATTTTCCTTTCAGAAATCAACCCCTCCATAACTCTGTTCCTGTGGTTGGATGGAGCTGACTACTCAGTTGAGGACCCAGGTTGGAATCACAGTGATTGGGCCAGAGATGGTCATGTGACCCAACCTGGGGCAATGAGAATAGGCCCTGGGACTTTTAATGGAGGTACTAGGAAACAGACACTCTTATTTTCTGCTTGAGTCTCTAAGCTGGTGGGATATAAGGCAGTGGCTGCTGGGAGCCAGCTTTGCCACTGCACAGGAAGGGCCTACCTGAGAATGGAACCATCACAGAGGCAAGCGAAGCCAAGAGCTAAAGAAACACAGAGAGATTCCTGTTTTCAGCAGCTGGATCCAGCCATGCCTGAGGCCACTGTGCCTCTGAACTTCTCAGTTATGTCAACAAATCTTCTGTTTTACTTGAACCAGTTTGAAGTGGATTTCTGTCACTTGCAGAAAGAGTTCTGACTTCTAAAGTGACCCAGGTGAACCAAACAGAGCCAGATTGGGACTCAGAGTCTGGATGATTGCAAAGTAGGGGATGCCTCAAAGCTTCTCCTTGCATGGAAATTTTGGGGAGCCTTTTTTGGCTGAAAGAGGAGAGAGGAGCAAGGTCCCAACATTGTTGGAGAAAACAAAAGACTGCTGAAGGGAGCATTGTGCATTCTTGCAGAGGACAGAATGGAAGAATATCTGCATGTTTATTTTCATGACATCCCAAGGGATACCTAGAAAAACCTAGGGAGACTGGAGGGGGAAGGGTAGCTGAAGTCCAGTTATACACGTGGCAGCACTAAACATTAAAGTGTCTCCCTTTGTGTCCTCAGGTTGGTGAGGCCCAGACTTGCTCAGGTTACATGAGAACAGGATCACACTGACAGCTGTCCCACTGTGGATTTGGCTTTCCATGAGATAGTGAGCTCCCCGTCACTCCAGGTGTGTAAGCAGGTGCTATGAGGGGGGCAATGGGTTAAAGCACCATTTCTCACTGGTCCATGGATCACCAGCCCAAGAGTTACTTGAGAATGTAGATTCCTGAGCTCCCCACAGACCTCCTCAATCATGACCTGTAGGAAGTAGCCCAGGAACTGATATGCTTTGATCTCCTCCAGTAAAGTTTGAGAATCTCTGGTTATATCATTGCTTCTCAAACTTGAAAGTATATACATGATCTTGGGATCATGTTAAACATAGATTCTGATCCAGCAGGTTTGGGAAGAGAGAATGAGAAGCTGCCCGGGTGATAATGCTGGTTCCCTGACCACACACCGTGGAGCCAGGGGTTGGATGACTTCAAAAATCTGATGGTGGCTCCCACCACTTACACTCCTGTGGCTGAAGACTGGACTATCCACTGGGATAGACACCCAGCTGGGACAAAAGGTTTCCATTCTCTCGGGCCAGGCCAGGCTGAACCAGTGGGAAACAAGACCCATCTCATGAATTGGCTCAATAGCTCCAAAGAGACAAAAGCTCTATGGGCAAAAAAAGAGAGATGAGCTTGAGATTTAACTTTATATAATAAAGCAGTAAGTGCTGTTTATTGGATATTACTGTGTGCCAGGCGCCACATGCTGGCCACTTCAAATCATTATGTGATCTGGAGAAGCAATCTGAGATGCATGTGGTTGTCATTAAATAGTATTTCTGGTATTCTTCTGCCTTCTGGGCACATGGTAGGGCTGCACTTCCTGGCCCCTTGTGGGTGAGGCCAGTGAGTTGTGAGGAGAAATGGCACGGGCTGCTTTTGAGTGGAGCATTTATTGTTGGTTCGGGCCCCTCCAGAGCTATGATTCCCTCTGTCACTGTGACTGGCAACATTTCAGATGGCAGCTGCTCTATCAGTCAGTCCCTTTAATATGGAGAAAGAAGAAGCCCCAGCTGACCTATGATAGACACAGAGCACGCATGATATATAAACCTTTGTTGTAAAAAGCCACCGAGATTGTAGGACTGTTTGTTACCGCAGCACGACCTTGCTTATCCTGACTGATATACACATAAGTAAACTCCAACAGCTAGGACTCCACGAAGCTAATATTTAACCTAGATCTGGTTGGTTCTATAGCCTACATTCACATCTCTGAATTCAGTGCAGGGAAAGAAGTGGGCATCCACAAGTCTTTGGTAAATCCTTCAGTTCCCTCCATCTGCAGTGTGAGACCCTCATACCTCTCGTGGTTGCAGCCGTTGGTTGAGCTGCCATCGGCCGATCCGCTCTGTGAACAGGATGAGCAGGAGGATTTCCGGGGGCTAGGTTGCCATAGGGATGGGAGGTTGCTCACGGAGACATCCATAAGATCCTGGGGGACTATGATGGGTAGAAGAAAGGGCAGAAGAGCCACGTTAAGCCTATGTAGATGACAGAAAGCTCACCCCAAAGCTAGCATCTTACCCCCAGGCCAGCACAGGGATAGGGAAAGACCCAAAATGGGACAGTAGGAAACCCCAATCATTGTCTGGCCCAGGCCCTTGAGCCTGTCTGATCCAATGAAAGCCACCACAAAATCATGGGGGCCCCAGCAGATGGGGCAGAGCCGATGACAGGCAAAGAGAGAGGAAGAAAACCAAGGGAGAAAGAGAGAATAATCAAGAAAACGGGCCCAATCCCAGAGCAGGAGGCCAAGCCTCGTCATGTTGTCATTTAGTCACGCTCACAAGAAGCTGCAGGAAGGAAGGGGAGCCTGCTGGGTGCTTCTGGGGAAGGCTGATGGTCTTGCATCCCCAGAGTCAGACCTCATGGGAGCTCCTGGTGGTGAGATGGAAGGGGGCCTGGCTCAACAGACAGGGCAGGGCACCCAAGGTCAAGAGAGCAATAGAGTCCCTGGTGACGAAGGAAGAGGGCTCCTACACTGTCCATGGTCCTGAGCCACAGAGATGCTGCACCAAGCAGGTCTCACACAGACTGGCGACCCCCTAGAATCATGTGAGGGGCTTGTTAAGAAGCCATATCCCCATCCCACATCCCTGGCCTACTGAACGAAAACCTCCTGGAGACAGAGCCCTCAAATCTCTATTTTTAAAACAATTTCAATACAGCAGCCATGCTGGGGAGACCCTGATCTCCTAACTCTTGGACACTGGTGATTCCTGACCAGCTGGGCTCCTGGGATGCAGCACTCATAGTTTCCCTTATTTTGTTTTTCTTTCCAAGCTTCATGAAAACTTCAGTGTCTGCAAAACTGCATGACAAACGTGCATGACACATGCAACCGAGGACACATGAGTCACAATTTCTATGGTCAACTTCCTGGCCTCTTGGCAGTTCTAGACAGGTGCGAAAGTTTTATCTTCTAAGACAGGGCTTGGTGAAGTTTTTCTGTAAGGGGCCAGGTAGTAAGTATTTTAGGGTTTGCAAGCCATTTGGTCTCTATCGTCACCACTCAGCTCTACTGTTGTGCAAAAGTAGCCACGAACAAATGTAAACAAATAAGCATGGATATGCGTCAATAAAATTTTATATATAAATACGGAAATGTGAATTTCATATCATTTTCACATGTCACAAAATAGTCTTCCTTTGGTTTTATTTGATCATTTAAAAATTTAAAAACCATTTTTAGCTCATGGGCTGTACAGAAAATAAGGCTAGATTTGGCCCAGGGGTCTTAGTTTTCTGATCCTTGTTATAGGAAATTAAGAGAGGCGCACATTTTCCCGTATGCCATGTGCTGGGAGGACAATTGATAATGCCCTTCCTCTTCCCCTGGGCCCCAAGGGGAGGGGAGTTGTGGACCTGGCCCCTCATGTCATCAGAGCTCAGCAGCTGACAGGGTCAGCCCCTATCCATAGACAGAATAGGAAGCCACCTACAGAATGCAGTTCTTGTGGCCACCAAATGTGGCATCTCACACTATTCCTCCCCATGCAGACTCACCCATGAGCTACCCAAGAAAGACCATTGTGCCCCTATAAAATGTTTTAGAAAAACATCCCCAGTTCTTAGCCAATCTCAGGGAAGTATTGATCAGTTCAGCCAGAGTGTGGCAACCATACCTTTACCCCAGCCCCCGACACCCATGCAGACATCACCAATGGATCCCTGTGCTACTGAGCCCACAATACCCCAAGCTGCCTTCTGCAGGGTGGAGGCTGGACAGCGCAAGGGCATTGATTTGTCTCCTGCTTCCATCTCCTGCGGGACCAGGACTCAAATGACAACATGGCAGAGGTGGCTGGCACCAAGCCCCTGGAAAACGGGGGAGCCCAAACATTACTGGGGGGCTGCTCCTTCAGGCCTGGTGTGGGGAGGGTGGCGTCCCATCTGGCTTGTGCCCACTGACTCCCCCTGTCCACCACCAGCATGGACCGGCCTACAGGAACCATCGTCCAGGCAGGGCCCACGGAGGCAGGGGAAGCGCTGCCCAAGAGGTCGGGGGCCACTTGAGACACAAAACAAAAAGATCTGGTGAGATGGGAGGTCTGAGGTGGGCAGGACACGGCGACAACTGGAAAATCCAATTCCCGGGGTTCCCATCCTTCCCCTGCCCTGCTCTACACAGCCCCCACGTAGATGGTGTGTGATCTGCAGAAAGAATTCTGATAAAAGTGCCTACTACGTGCTGGGTGTTGGGCTAGGCAGTTGCTTTATTGTCATTAGCTGCACCATCATCCTTGCAAGGGATGCATTTACTCCCCACCCCCACCCCCCATTTTACAGAAGAAGAAACTGAGGCTCAGAATGATGACACAAATTAATCACCCAGAGCCTTGCCAAGGTAGTAATCAGCATAGCTAGTCTTTTTGACTGAAGTCCCTCTTCTCCTTCCACTAACAACAGCTATCACTTACTGAGTGCAGATACTATCATCATCCCCTTTTACAGATTAGGAAACTGAGACCCAAAGCATTTAAGCAACATAGCCAAGACCACACAGCTAACAAGTGTGGAGCCAAGATTCCAACCCAGGGGATTTGGCTTTGCCATCCTGCTCAGATCCCCTCAGCTGTTTCACATGAGTTCTTCTCCCTACACCATCCCTTCTCAACTGGGGCAATTTCGGCCACACCTGGAGACATTCTTGGGCGTCAAAACTTGGGGATTAGCTAGATGCCACTGGCATCTAGTGGCTGACTCCAGGGATGCTAGTCAACATCCTAAAATGCACAAGACACGCCCCCATATAAAAATTATCCAGCACCAAATATCGACAGTGCTGAGGTTGAGAAACCCTGCCCTACACCAGTGCCGTGCAATAGGAATACAGTGGTGCCACATACGTAATTTAAAACATTTTTAGTAGCCACATTCAAAAAGTGAAAAGAAACAGGTGAAATCAATTCCAACAATATATTTTTCTCAACCCAGTCTATCCAAAAGGTTATCATTTTAGCACATAATCAATATAAAATTATGAATGAGATATTTTACGTTCTTTTTTCTTTCATACATAGTCTTTAAAATCCGGGGTGTCAAAAGATCAAATGAGACTCTATAAAAAAGACACTTGCACCCGAATGTTTATAGCAGCACAATTCACAATTGCAAAGATGTGGAAACAACCCAAGTGTCCATCAATACATGAGTGGATTAATAAAATGTGGTATATGTATACCATGGAGTACTATTCAGCTTTAAGAAACAATGGTGATATAGCACCTCTTGTATACTCCTGGATAGAGCTGGAATGCATTCTACTAAGTGAGGTATCCCAAGAATGGAAAGACAAGCACCACATGTACTCACCATCAAATTGGTATTAACTGATCAACACATAAATGCACATATAAGAATAACATCTATTGGATGTTGGGCAGGGGGGGAGGAGGGAGTTGGGAGGAGGGGATGGGTATATGCATACACAAAGAGTGCAATGTGCACCACCGAAGGATGGACATATTTGAAACTTGGACTTGGGGGGGGCAAGGGCAACATACGTAACCTAAACATCTGTACCCCCATAATATGCTGAAATAAAAAATATATATATATTTTTGACTTTGTGGGCCATGTGATCTTCATCACAACTATCTTCTGCTGCGGTGGCATGAAAACAGCCATAGACCGTATGTAAATGAATGGATGTGGCTGTGTTCCAATAAAACTTTATTTACAAAAACAGGCAAGTGGGCCCAATTTGTTCCATGGGAAGGATTTTGTTGACTTCTGATTTAGGTACTACTCCAGAAAGGGCTTCCTGCCTCTCACAGGGGAAAATCACAAGAGAGTTGTTTTTGTTAACCCTGTGTGGCCCAGGCCCCTGAGAAATCAACCAAGGATGGGGTTGTCATTTGCACGTGGGGCTGAATCTGATCTTGAGGGTGAAGGCAGTGAAACCACACTGCCCTCTCCCTGCCAATCAAAACAACATGCACGGAGTGGTGATTAGAGGCACAGGCTTTGGAGGCAGATCACCTGTGTTCAAATCCCAGCCATGCCAAGAATTAGCTGTGTGACCCTGGACCAGTTGCTTAACTTTTCTGTGCCTCAATTTCCTCCTCTGCTAAATGGGGGATGGTGAAGGCAGTGGTACCTGCCTGGGAGGGTTCTAGTGGGGATGAAATGAATTAAGGCATGGACAGAGTACAGAAGCGGGCCAGGCACACTGCTAGCAGAGCTCAAGACATGATACCTACTGTTGCCCACTGAGCGTCTGCCAGGCAGCAGGCCCGCACCAGATGACCAGGCATTTTATGAATGATCACTCTGACTCCTCAGAATATGATCCTGGTGGGGAGTGTCACTGTCCCCTTTCTACAGACCGGGAAATGAGGCCTGAAGAGGACGAGTCCCTTGACCACACTGCAGTGGCAGAGCTGAACACAGTGATGTGTTCTTTTATCTAAACCAGTGGTTCTCAAACACATGCAATTTTGACACCCCACCCCAGAGGACACTAGGCAATGTCTAGAGACATTTCTGGTTGTCACAGCTTGGAGGGAGGTGGCTTTGCTACTTGGCACCTAGTGGCGCAGTGCAGGGATGCTGCTCGACATCCTACAGTGCACAGGACAGACCCCTACAGCAAAGAATGGCTCCAACCAAAATGTCAGCACACTAAGGCTGAGAAGCCCTATTCTAAATAAACCGATTAGGCCAGGCACGGCGGCTCATGCTTGTAATCCCAGCACTTCGGGAGGCCAAGGCGGGAGGCTCGCTTGAGATGAGGAGTTCAAGGCTGCAGTGAGCTATGATTGCACCACTGCACTCCCGACTAAACAGTTGGGGTTTCCTCAAAGGCAGACAAGGATTCAAGTGCAAGTAGTTGGTTTGGGAGGTGTGCGCAGGAAGCACTGGTGGGGGAGAGGTGAAGTGAGACAGGGAAGGAAAGGCAGAGAGTAAGTTACCACTAGGGGCACCTGTGATCTCTTGGGGATCCTCTAGGGCAGAGGTCCCCAACCTTTTTGGTACCAGGGACCAGTTTCATGGAAGACAATTTTTCCACAGACCAGTGGGTGGAGATGGTTGCAGGATGATTCAAGCGAATTACATTTACTGTGCAGTCAAACCTCTCTTCTGATGATGATCTGTATTTGCAGCCACTCCCCAGCGCTAGCATCACCGCCTCAGGTCATCAGGCATTAGATCCTCATAAGGAGCGAGCAACCCAGATCCCTCACACGCGCAGTTTACAGTAGGGTTCGTGCTCCCATGAGAATCTAATGCCTGCGCTGATCTGACAGGAGGCGGAGCTCAGGCAGTGATGCGAGCGATGGGGAGCGGCTGTAAACACAGATGAAGCTTCGCTTGCTCGCCTGCACTCACCTCCTGCTGTGCGGCCCAGTTCCTAACAGGCCACGGACCAGTACCGGTGTGCAACACGGGGCTTGGGGACTGCAGCTCTACGGGACTGTGGGCAACACGCATTTCAGAGTTTGCTCTCCCGAGGGGTGAGGGAGCTGGGGTACTTATACTCCCATCAGTCTGGGGCCGAGGGCTGCTCCAGGGAGGCACTGAATCCCTGACACTTCCGATATGCTACACTCATGGGCAGAAGGGACCCTGGTGGCCAGAGAAACCCCTCTGGCCACCAGACAAAGAGACACCGAGGTGGGGAGCTGGCACTGAACAGCACAATGGGCAATGTCGGGGGTGTGAGTGGCACAGCTAGCGTTTGTCCCGCTGGCCTACATCAAGTCACAAGAGGAAAACGTAGCTATTTCCTTAAATAAATAGAACATCCAGCACCCAGGCTGGCTCCCAGCAGGAGCCTACAAATTACTTGTTGGATGAGAACCTGCACGAAGAGATTCCTGGGAAGGCAGCTCTAGGGGATGTGGCCCTCTCTGATTAACCAGCTCTCGAGTAGGGCGTGCGAATTAGTGTCGGTCTTCTTCGAGTGGGAAGCCCAGGTTCCTGGGAAACAGAACTGAAGCCAGCCCGGCACCCAGGGAGATTTCACCCTTACAAATGGCGCCATCTCAGCACAGCCTTGGGGCCAGGCTGAGCCTCGTTCCGCGAAGAGGGCAGGAGAGCCCCAGATCCTGGGTGGGAACGGACGTGGTAATGAATATTTCAGGACACTCTGTGTAGCACTTAAGGGATTCCAGCCTTGCCAGGGAGGACGTCTGCTCTCAAGAGAGCCTCTCACTGCCCAACATGTGGCCGCTTCAGCAAAGGGAGGCTCGGAGCTATTATCCATCGAATGGGAACAACAGGGTTAAATAAAATGAGGTTAACAGAAAACTTGTAACTTGATATTGATTTGTTTAACACATCCATGCTGTGCTTAATAAATGCCAGGCCCCCTTTGAGTCCTTTTCAAATATTAATTCGTTGAACCCTCACAACGGTCCCATGATAACGATGATCTTAGCAGTGAGTTTCCATTAGCTAAGCCTCTATGTCATAGCAGTCGCCACGCAAATTGTTTGACATACATAATTAAATGTCATCTCGTGTGCTGGTGCCCAGTGCTTTGCTTGCTCTCCACTGTTCTAACAGCACTTATGGAGGGCCTACTGTGT